AGGTTGACCAAGAAGTGGCCCCACTGCCAGCGGAAGCCAGTAACCAAGAGGCAAGCGGGTGTTCGTGAAAATAGTTCTCTGGTGAATTCAGGGTCTGAGAGACAACAACGCCAAGACTTGCACACACGCTTGCATTGGATGAGAGTTTTTGTTGGGATTTTGCAGAAAATCTCCAGTATTATGGGGTCTGACAATTGCAGAATGTAGGGTCTCTGATCATGCTCTTCCTCTTCATCGTCGTCTTCTTGTTTTGGGGTTCTGCTTCTGTTGGTTGCTGGGTGGCGGAAGCATTGTATAATTCTCTTCATATTTTTGCCCACTCAACACTTTGACACGCCAAACAGAGAATGCGGAAGGTGGTGCAAGTACCCGTGTGCGTATCTTGTAGCCCATATTATGTGGTTTGTTTTGTTTCCTGTTTATCCCTTCGTCTTTTTTTAGTTTGTAAATTCACCTACTTACTCTTTTTTGGTCAATAATTCATCTACTTACTAAAAATAAAAAAAGAAACAAATTTTATTTACAAGAATGTTAACTTCCTTCACATCTTGCCTTTTTTTATTCCTCATTTTATGCCATATGCGTGGCATAAAGTGAAAGAAAAATACAGATAGGGGAAGGCAAGATTGAGGAGGAAGCAGGAAGCTCGTGGGAGACTTTTATACGTTTTCTCTTTCTATTTTTCATGTAGAAATAAAAATATAATAACATTTAATATTAACTACAAATAGCATGGTGCCACGTTTTTTTTTAATTCCCTACCAAAAAAATTATGATTTAAAGGGTGAAACTCGGTGAACTACACAATGTGTTTGAATGAGGTAAAATAACTCGGGATTTTAACAAAAGGAGGGATTTAGAGCGTGGAAAAGGAAAAGTTCAGAGTTTGGAAAAATCAACTCAGGATTTGCCAAATTACACGCAGAAAATACCAGATTGTTGAAGAAAAAAAATGTTGTCACTTCTAATTAAATTCTAATTCTCTTATGAGTATCTAAACAGGTGAAATTGTAATTTCTATAATTTCTTACATTCCACATACATGACATCCAAACACTAAAATGTGTAACTGGCGGAATTTTAAATGATGTAATTGGAAATCCCATCATTTACAGTTTCTATGGAAATTAGAATTACTTCATCCAACACACTGTCAAGGTACTAAAATGAAAATTACCCTATTAGATAATTCATAAGATATAAAAGAAAAGGAATCAGAAAAAAAAAAAAAAAAAAAGAAAAGAAGAAAAAACAGTTGAAGTTGCAAACCTTACCCAACCACACCGGGGTCTATAAAAGAGCCCCATGACAACCCTGGAAATGGCTTCGAGGTCCTTGGTTTGCCCTTGCAACCATGGGAGACGACCCTATGGGAGCAATTGCTCCAAAACACTACACTAGTGGGTCCCTAAACCGTCACACTACTCTTAATTAGTCTATTAGATTAGAATATTCCCTAATTAATGATAATATCCCCAAAATAAGATAATATCCTAAATTGGTGATATTATCTTTAATTGGTGATTATATTCTCAAATAAAGATAATATTTCAATTCTTGGTCTGAATTAATTGGCCAAATAAATGGGCCAAATTAATGACCTAAGTGATATTCTTCTTGTTCACGTGGCGCCTTGTGATTGGAAACCAAAACATTTGCTCCCATACCATGAATTTCCTCTTAATCTTTAATGGATATTTTTTACACAGAGAGTTCATGGGTGTTAGGTGAGGCAATAAAATGGGATAAAGTGAGACTAAACTTATATAAGATTGGGAGGGTGGGGCGCATATGAATAACTACCACTCTCTTTCACCTACACCCAGGCTAATTAGGTTGGATGATGGATGATTAGAAAAAGTAAATATGTAAATGGGCCAATTATTGGCATGGTCTTTTCCTGTTGATCTCATTAACTCTATCCCGGTATGCATGCATGGTTTTGGTCCTCCTTTTCTAGAAATTTTAAGTATATGAGGAGGACAGCAATACGACAAACAACTTAGCACGTTCTAGATAGAGATTTAGTGATGAATATTCTTAAGGCTAAATAGCTTACTAATTATAGGATGTAAGGCTGAACTAGAATGCAACTTCGTATAAAAATAGTTAGTGATTGGTTGGATAGTTTGATGGTGTTGAGCCTTCCCAATCGGACTATAAATTGGCCTCAACTCAAAATGGAGTTGCATCATCCTTACAAAGAAAAAAGAGAGAAGAAAATTAACAAAGTGGAAGGAAAATCAAAATGGCTCTGAAATTAAGATTCTTGGCAATGCTTTTGTTCTTATTGTTAGCATCTACAGCTAAAGCTAATCCTAGTGTGTTTGATGTGACAAGTGCAACATACGGTGCAAAGCCTGGCTCTGATGTCACAAAGGCCTTGGCCAAGGCTTGGAGTGATGCATGTGCATCTCCATCGGCAAGTAAAGTTGTTGTTCCGAGCGGGACATACAAGTTAAAAGAAGCAACTTTCAGAGGCCCCTGTAAGGCTCCTATTGAGATGCAAGTTCGAGGCACATTGCAGGCTCCAGCAAACGCTGGCCAATTCACAAGACCAGATACTTGGGTTGGTTTTCAATACATTGACAAGCTCACCTTATCAGGTGGTGGGACTTTTGATGGCCAAGGAGCACTTGTTTGGGGTCAAAATGACTGCCACAAAAACAAAAATTGCAAACCTATTCCCATTAATCTGAGGTTCGAATTCATCACCAATTCCAGAGTTCAGGACATAACTTCACTTAATAGCAAAAATTTCCACATGCATGTTTTCAGATGCAAGCATACTACATTTCAACATCTTACCATCACAGCACCTGAAGAGAGCAGAAACACAGATGGAATCCATATCGGGGCTTCGACTGGTATCAACATTACTCATGCAAAGATTAGAACTGGAGATGATTGTGTTTCTATTGGTGATGACTCCCACCAAATCACAGTGACTGATGTTACTTGTGGGCCAGGCCATGGCATAAGCATTGGAAGCCTTGGAAGATATAAGGAAGAAAAGGCTGTGACCGGGATCATAGTTAAGAATTGCACCCTGACTAATACACAGAACGGTGTGAGAATCAAAACATGGCCAGATTCTCCTTCTAGCAGTACTGCCTCAGATATACACTATGAGAATATTATCATGGTTAATGTCAGTAACCCTATCCTCATAGACCAATTGTACTGCCCATATACTCGGTGTGACCAAAAGCCTCCGTCAAAAGTTAAGATCAACAATGTCAGCTTCAAGAACATTAAGGGCTCATCTTTCACTCCACTTGCAGTCAAGCTTGTATGTAGCAGGGGCCTACCGTGTGAGAATGTGAAGTTGACTGACATTGATCTCACCTACGGTGGAGACCAAGGCCCTCTTACCTCTCTGTGTTCTAATGTCAAGCCCACAATTACTGGCATGAAAAAGGCTCTTGCTTGTGCTACATCGTCCTTGGCACCTCTTCCTTTATCCAAGAAGTAGAAAGTACTAATTAATGTTCTCTATACATAAATTTATGTGTTCTACTTTGCTTTTGTGCTACATGTTCTCTCCTTTGTATCAAGATAAATAAATAAGTAACATGTAGACCATGTACAAAGGAGAGAAGCATTAATCCGGAGCAATTAACATGGAATAAAGCGTCATATTTCAATTCATATGATGTAAAAAGATAACACGTACAACGGACAGAGAATTAACAGACTACAATCAGAAAACCAGAAATGTACAATCTTGACCTAAATATTCAAGCAAGCATGCACAAGAAACTACCATTACTAGAGACTAAGAATCCACATATGAATTACATCTCAAATAGAAGTAACAGGAATGGCATTACAGATTCTCTGGGTTTCAAATCCCAAACTCAACTAACCAGAAACGAAGCACAGAAACAAAGCAGCCATGGCGAACAACAATACCATGCTTAACCAAGAAACAGATACAAAATCCTTAACCACAGACAGAGAAACGATACAAGAGAACCACACCACACTTGAATACTTGATAGTTAATACAGAAACCGGATAATGGAAATATAGCAATATTACATACATGATACAACCCTGGGATTTCAGTTTGGGTCAAAAATTACAACATCTTAGATTCTTAACATTGGGATTTCTAAGCAGCTCGATTTTTTTTTCTTTCTATTGAAGGGGAGAGAGCCCTCCATTGATGTTGATTTGGTTCGTTGTTTGGATTCTAATTCAATTTGCTGTTATGTCATTTTTGGGTTGTATGTTTGCTATACTAATCGATATATATATATATATATATATATTCTAAGAATTTTTTGTGCTGCAGTTGGCTAAGTGGGCATGGCAAATTGGCAAGTTAAATGACCTTGTTGAATTCTTTCTGTGATTAGTTGGGGAACTGTGTATATAGGTAGTCAGTTTCTAAGTGTTTTATTATTTTTATTATTGAAGTGCTTCATGTTCATGTACCAAGTTACATATTTTTGGTGTTGTGTGCATAGAATGTGGTATCAGAGGAAGGTGCTTATATATGTTGAATCATGGATAGTTGAAAGGAAGGTGCTTGTGCAGGTATATGACCTATAAGGTCATTAACAATGATAAAAGATTTCACTTTGCTCCTGCTCTCGTTTATTGCAGAATGTAAGACTTCCCATTTTATCTTAAATAATTTTCATTATTGTGGTCATTTTATCTCACTCCATGCCAATTGAGTGAGAGTTGGTTTGTTTGCAGGCTAAATGGGTACTACAGCAACTTCAGTGTATTTGCAAGAGACCAACAGCGTACATTTAATCTCAACCAGTGGAAGGTTGTGAAAGAATGAACAGGAACAAATAAACTCAACCCACAATTGATAGGTGAGCAGTTCATGTTTTTATATAGAACTCATGTATAGAGGGTTAACAAGTTTACATGGAGACAAACTCTTTACAAGATAATTATCAATAAGGTATTTATCCTATACAAGATAATTATAACGTATAATAGTAAACACAAATAAGGCTTAGCAGCAGGAGATCACGTCAAGTCTGGATTAGGTTCATCATGCCCCGCAAGCTGAGCGGGCGACAACAAAAGGGGAAGCTTGGAGAGTAAGTAACGAAACCGAAGAGTGGAACCTTGGTGAGAAGATCAGCAAGCTGATCCTTAGAGGAAATGTAATCAACCTCGAGCTCCTTGTGAATAACTTTCTCCCGAACACAGTGATAATCAACCTCAATATGACGAGTGTGGGACTGAAATATCGGATTAGAAGTAAGAGAGATTGCACTGACATTATCACACCAAATATGTGGAGGAGTGAGGGGAAGATAGAGATCATGAAACAATGAACGTACCAAGGACAAGGCAACAGCAGTATAAGCTAATTAGTGGTATTCAGCCTTAATACTGGAATGTGAAACACCTCGCTGTTTCTTAAAGCTCTAGGAAACAAGATTACACAAAGATAGATATAATACCCTCCAGTAGAGTGACGATCATCAGGATCACCGGCATAATCAGCATCAGCATATGCAGTAAGACTTAACGAACTAGGCTTATATACAAGGCCATCATCAGAGGTAGACTTCAAATAACGAAGAATCTGTTTGACAGCAACCAAATGAGTCCTCGCGGGCTTGTGCATAAATTGGCAGACTTGATTAACAAAAAAGGCAATGTTTGGACTTGTGAACGTAAGATATTGAAGAGCCCCAACCACACTATGATACTCGAAAACATCAGATAACGGGTCACCATCATGCAAGCTTAACGACAGCCACCAACAGCAGGAGTTGGCAACGGTTTGCAGTCTAACATCTTTGTGCGTGTCAATAGATCCAGGATCTATTTGGATTGAGATAAATGCAGGCCGGTGGAGGTCCACACCGCTTCTATGCCCAAGAAGTAATGCAAGGGACCAAGATCTTTCGTAGAAAATTAACGGCTCAAATTGAGAATTAGCTGGGTAATGAGACCCAATATTCCCTGTAACTAAAATGTCATCAACATAAATCAATAAGTAGATAGTAGTAGGCCCATGAAAGCACATGAATAATGAGGTTTCAATCTTGGAAGCAACAAATCCCAAATGCTCAAGATGAGTAGAAAAACACTGAAACCAAGCCTGCATAACCTATTTAAGGTCATATAAAGAACGATTGAGCTTACAAACATGTGTAGGATATTGAAAATCAAGAAACCCAGTATGTTGCTTCATGTAGACTTCTTCAGTGAGGGAGCAATGGAGAAATCATTTCGGACATCGAGCTAGCGAATGGGCCACCCAAAGTGAACGGCGATGGCTAAGATAAGACAAATGGTGGAGTGATTGACCACAAGGCTGAAGGTCTCAGCATAATCCAAACCCTTCTGTTGATGAAAACCATTGGTCACCAAACGGGCTTTAGACCGTTCAATGGACCCATCAAAGCGCTTTTTGATATGAAAGACCTATTTGTTGGGAAATACATTCATAATGGGCTTGAAAGGAACCAGAGTCCAGGTGCCAGTTTTCTGTAAAGCATTAAATTCACCATGGCCTTACGCCAGTCTTCAGATTTTTGGGCCTAACTAAAACATGTGGGCTCAACCAAATGATTAATAGCAATAGTAAGATGAGCATGTGTGACCATATGATGAGAATCATAATCACAATTGTTCATTTGAGAACTTGAGGCAATGGGGAAATAATGGGAGAAGGGTGGGCTGATGTCCTCCACGTTTCAGATTATATATATATATATATATATATATATATATATATTGGCCTACAAAGGTATTTTGGTAATTTTCACACATAGGGGTATTTTGGTCATTTTGGTCCAAAATTCAGAAACAATTTCTACTTGTTCGTTGAGTTGACTACTATCGTCCTACCTAAGAATTATAATGGTCTCACTTCAATTTCTTAAATGTCCTTTGAAAAATTCACAAAATGTTACGTAAGGGCATTTTTATCGAACTTGAAATTACACACTTAATCCAATAGGCTTGATAAAATATCCCATAATCATTCTTCACTATAATATTATTTTTCATTGAAATATGAATGTCCACCTTGATTTTTTTTTGGGGTTTACATGATAGGTGAAGGTCCCCAGACATCATAGTGAATTAACGTAAACAGACTTACACGTACTTAACGAATAGGGCACACGATGACTCTTGGTCAATATAAAAGTATCACATTTGAAGTCGTAGTCCTTGAAACTTGAGAATAAATCTAGTATAAGATGCTTCAGATAACTAAAAGACAGATGTTCTAATTGACGGTGTTGTGGGAGCATATATTTTCGTCTCCAATCACGGCACGCCACGTGGAAAAGAAAATTATCTCTCAAATTAATTAATTGAACCAGTTTATCTAGCCAATTAATTAATTGGCATAAATATCTTAATTAATGGGATATTATCTTTATTTAATGATCTAGAAGGAAGATCGAAGGTTGAAGGATCTAGAAGCGAATATTATCCTGCGAGATTATTTGCACAAACATTTGGTGCTTTCATTGAGAGCACGAGTTATACTCAACGCGTGCTCAAGGAATCTGTTCATCCTATTTTCCAATCCACCGAAGCCTTCCAAACAACCATGGTTGGAAGCAAGCGCACAAGGAGCAAAACCGCCGGGATGACTCAATTCGTGACGGCCCGAAGCTACTCCTCCTACAATCCCGCGATCGACATGGTGGCTCCATCGCCTCTCGCCGCGGTGAACCCTTAGCAAACCCTAGCTACCACACCACAGCATCCACCCTGTGTGACTAGAACCACCGCGCCGGCCTCTATCGTCGTCGTACCATCTCAAGGAACCATGGCTGGATCTAGCCACCTTCATAGCATCACCATCGAGCATGGTGGAACCTCACATCAAGGTGGCTCACTACCACCTGCGACTTTGGCCCAATCTTGGAGCAACTTCAAGCATTCCCTTCATTGCCCCCACGCTCGACGCACGCTCCAGCGTACTCATCCAATGAAACCCTAGCCCGTGTGCAATTGGGCTTCACACATTTCTCTCCTCCTGATCCATGAAGTCAAGAAGAACTTAATATGAGAGTTGACCAGCTAACTCAGAGAATGGAAGACTAAAATAGTATGATGAAGCAGCTCCTCAACCAAATAAACTTAGCTCAAAACCTTGGCCTTGAACAACAGGGCGAAGAGATAAGGATGGACGAACACGCCGATAGGCAGTTCGATGGGAACCAAGTAGGTCGAGTAGGAGTAAGTAGACAAAGAGATGCACAACAATGTGATCAGCTTGCCGACATATCGCAAGCATCAGCAAGCCACACTTAGAGCAGACGAAGTCTCCCATCCATATTGAATTGAAGGAACAACGTGTGCGATAGGCTGGGCCCAAGATCCGACATCCACGCTCGTTTAGGTCTGCATGGGAAATGTTCATGAAAGGCTAGGCTCCTAGGGACGTCAAACTGACAACCATCGCAATGAGGATCGTGAAGAAAGACACTCTGCTGCCCTTTCACGGAGAAATATTCACGAAAGGCTAGGCCCCCAAGGAGGTCAACTTGATAATCCTCACAATGCGGACCGTGAAGAAAGGCGCTCTGCTACTCGTTCTCGAATAACCAATTCTCGTCGCCAAGTTACAGAAAATCCCTCGCAAGTGCAGTCCACCAACACGTCGCGTAGGCAGCGCAGCCGAGAAGGTTGACCCTTGCAAACCAACGAGGAAGTTACTCAATCTTGCCCAAATCGTAAAGGTCATCGACATGACTGACTAGCCATGTGTGTGGAAGACGTTAAGAAGCTTATGAATAACTGACTTCAAGACTTAAAGATAGGCGGAAACTTCGAAGATGCACTGCGTGTTGAGGTAGACCGAGCAAACTCCTCACCTTTCACCGTCGAAATCGAGCAGGCTGCTCCCCCGAAACTATTCTCAACTCCCTCTTTTACATGCTTCAAAGGCAATTCCGATCCCGAAAGCCATTTGTAGCATTTCAAGAGCCTTATGATCCTCTACAATGACTTTGCGAGGAGCAGCACAGAACTTGTTCCATACCCTGTCATCCGGGTCGATCAACAGCTTCAAGGAGCTTACTTACGTCTTCACTAAAGAATACACTTCTTATCGGACGATCAAGAAGAACCCTGACCACCTGTACAACCTGCGCAAGAAGCCTGACGAATCCCTTCGAGATTGCATCAAGAGATTCAAAGCAGAAAAGGCCAACATCGTAGGATGCGATGACCTAATCGCATCATCTGCATTCAAGAAAGGTCTTCCAGCAAAACATGACTTATACCGCGAGCTGACTATCATTCCCAGTAAGACTCTGGCAGAGGTCTTCGCAACCATGGAACGCTACGCGCTCTAGGATGACCATCAAATTGCCGCGAAGAAGTCTACTGAGCAGGAAGATCGGCCAACCAAGCGGGCAGACCAAAGAAGCGATAAGCTTGGCAGCAGGGACAAAGACAAACGCAGGCCGAGCCCACAATGGGATGCTACGACAAAAGAGAACTACACCAACTTCTCCATCCCTATACATCAAATTTTAGCCCAAGTGAAGGACAAACCTTGGGCAAAAAGACCGCCACTCTTGAAAGGAGATCCAGACAAGAGGGATACCAGGAAGTATTGTGCCTTCCATGCGACGCACGGACACAATACAAATAATTGCTTTGCTTGGAAAGCACACCTTGAAGAACTCGTGAGAGCTGGTCACTACACGGAGTTCATTGCGAAGCAGGCCATCCAGAAGATAGAGGACCGCGATACCGCCAAGGAACCACCCCAGAAGGTCATAAGGATTAACACAATCCTAGCCGACTCCGAGGAGTCCAGACTGACCAACAAAGAAAAGAAGAGAAAGATCAAACAGGCCACCATGATCTCCCAGGTCTCCACTAGTCTCCCACTGGCAGAAGATGATGCTGTGATCGGCTTCTAGAAGAAAGATCTAATCGGCCTTGATCTACCACACAACGACGCCCTTGTCATCAGCATTCAAATTGCTCAGGCCATGGTCGACCGAATCCATGCAAACGAGGGCAGTGCAGCTAACATCATACAATTGGCAGTTATCCAACAAATGGGCTTAGAGACAAAGATTAATAAATCAGCCAAGTCACTGACTGGTTTTAATGGCGTAACAACGGTTACCTTGGGCACGATAGATCTCGATGTCTACTCCCCACCTATAATCAGCTCGCAAATGTTCATGGTCATTGATGAAGTCTCACCCTACAATGGCATTCTAGGCAGACCATGGATCGGCAAGATCAACGCCATCACCTCCGCTACACATCAGAAGATTCGCTACCCAATCCTTGGGGGTGGTATCAGCCAGATCAACAATGATAAAACATTGGCGAGGAAATGCTCAGCTCAAGGGCTAAAGAAAGGCAAGCAAACACAGTTCCTCCCTGTGAATCAAGCAGAGCTAAAGGGAGTACAACAAGCAGAGGAGAAAGTAGATCCTGTTCCTGACGACCGACCAGACTAGAAAGGAAAGGGAATAACCACTCCCCAATAGCAATCAAAGAATCAGGACCAAGTTGAGGGAATCCGTCCAGAGGTCTCTCCTGAAGAAGGATGGAAGCCCAAGGAGGACGTTGAGCTAGTACCCCTTGATCCTGACAAGCCAGAGAGAAAAGCACGGATCGCCTACACGTCAACCCAACTATCAAGCCTGTAGCGCAGAAGAGACGCAACTTCGCCCCCGAGCGAGTAGCCATCATTCAAGCTAAGATCGACAAGCTTCTAGTTGCAGGTTTCATTGAAGAAGTCTCCTACGTAGAATGGCTAGCGAACGTCGTTCTAGTAGCGAAGAAAGATAAAGGTCTGTGGAGAGTGTGCGTCGACTACACCGACCTCAACAAGGCATACCCTAAAGACAACTTTCCACTACCTAGAATTGATCAGCTCGTCGATTCAACTTCCGGTAACCAACTGCTAAGCTTTATGGACGCCTACTCCGGCTACAACCAAATCATGATGCATGAAGACAACAAGGCAAAGACCTCTTTCATTATCAAAAGAGGTACATACTGCTACAAAGTCATGCCCTTTGGGTTGAAGAATGCCGGAGCAACGTACCAAATGCTGGTGAACAAAATTTTCAAGGAGTTCTACGTAGTTCTACGTAGATGACATGCTTGTCAAAGCTCCCGAGCGAGCAGACCACATCAAGAACCTTGTCGAGGTAGTCAGCCTACTCCGAAAATACAACATGAAGTTGAACCCGAGCAAATGCACATTTGGAGTCTCGTCCGGCTGATTCCTTGGATACTTAGTCACCCAAAGAGGAATTGAGGTACATCTAAATCAAGACTGTACTCAACATGAAGTCACCTGCCACAACAAAGGAGATACAAAGTCTAACCGCTCTCAACCAATTCCTCTCAAGATCTACCGACAAGTGCAGGCCATTTTTCAAAGCCTTGAAGAAAGGACACGAAGACAAGTGGGATGGCGAGTGCGAAGTAGCTTTTTAAAACTTGAAACCTACCTCACTTCACCTCCCTTACTCTCAAAACCGATACGAGGTGAAGACTTGTACATCTAGCTGGCGGTGTCCGACAGCTGTCAGCTTAGCCCTCATCCGAGAAGAGCTGGGGGCACAACATCCGGTATTTCACACTTCAAAAGCTCTCCTCGATGCAGAGACTCGCTATCCGAAAATGGAGAAGCTCATTTTAGTGTTTGTCGTGTCTGCGAGAAAACTAAGGCCCTGCTATCAAGCATACTGGATAATTGTCATGACAGAATTTCCTTTGAGATCGATCCTCCACAGCCCCGACGCTTCTCAGCGACTCATGAAATGGGCTATCAAACTTAGTTAATACGACCTCCTCTACTGGCCGAAGACTACTATAAAAGCCCAAGATTTAGCAGCTTTTGTTGTAGAGTTTACTTCGACAGCCGAAGAAGAGAAGATGGTCACGAAAAGCAAGGGAAAAGCAGATGACACATCCCCCACCGATTCGAACCTACCTAATGACATGTGGCAGTTGCATGTAGACGGAGCATCAAATCACAAAGGAGCGGGAGCAGGAGACGTCATAATCACCCTAGATGAAACTTTGTTGGAACAAGCTATCACACTAGGCTTTTCTGCTTCAAACAATGAGGCAGAATATGAGGCATTGCTTGCAGGATTGCACCTAGCGAAAGAACTGTCGATCAAGAGATTGGCCATCTACTCGGATTCCCAGCTGATCACAAATCAAGCCTCAGGAGAGTACATGGCAAAACATCCAAGAATGGTCCAGTACCTCGACAAAGTCCAAGGACTTTTGAAAGAATTCCCTACTTTTACCATCCAACAAGTTCCACGGACAGAGAACACTCATGCAGATGCATTGGCGAGTGTAACACCCCGACTCCAAATTTATCCCCTATTTTAATTAATTTGAGTGAAATTAAGAATTTACCCGTGGGATAGGGGTATTTTAGTCATTTTCTTACCCGGAAGGAATTTGGGAATTCCGGATGTACCGTTGCGTAGAGCACGGCGAGATGAGTCCGTAGACACGTAGTGGGCTCGAATCAGAGTTGTAACGAGAGAGATATGATCAAAAGAAGCTCAGTGGCAAAACCGTAAATATTTTGAAATGGAATTTCTGGTTAAAAGAAGGAATTGCCCCCGTCTCTCACACTCTCTCTCTCGCGCGTCTCTCCCTCTCTCCTCTGGTTTTCGCGACGGCTGGAACAGCCGGCCACATTTTGGCCGGCCGCGCCCTCGTCCGGCCACCAAAGTCGACGGGGCCGGTACCAAAATGACCGGGCCGCCGTCCTCTTCCTACCCCAGCTGGGTCTCGCCGCCAGCCGCCGGGATTCCGCCGGAAAATCGAAGAAAACAGCCCGGTTTCGCCCGAAACTTCACCGGCTTCGTTCTCCGTCGTCCGGCCACCGATTCCGGCAAGTGAGGTATGGTTTCTCACCTATTTTCCGAGCTTTAGCTGATGGTTGGGTAGGATTTCATAAATTTTGAGGCTAAGTAGCTCGATCTACGAATTGAAATTCGTCCGGTTTTGCGATCGCGATTCCGGGCACCTCCGGTCAGTTTTTGGGGTATGTCCAAGAACAAAAGTGACTCCAAATTAGGTTTATTACCTAAGGTAGGAGTCTTGGCTCACGATTTGGAAGTTTTCCGGCGATGCGATATCGCTTTAGACACCCACGCGCTGCCGGCGCGTGTGGCGGCGCGTGGGCACTGTAGCTGAGGGGCATTTTTGTTCCAATGTGATCCTCTCGATGTCACGAGCGCGTAGGTGTGCTCGGATTTCAATTTGGATATCGTTAGAGTCCCGAACGGATATCGCATATCGCGTATTTTCCGGGTTCGCTAGGTTTGGACCGTTGGATGGTCCTGAAGTTATAATATGTTGATCTAAGTATTACCAGGATCGTGTAGGATTCGACGGATCGTAAAACGGAGTCCCGGATACTCCGGAAATGCCAACCCTGGGGTTAAAGTTTTAGTAACCGTCCGATCGTGCGATCGTGAGCGATCCGACCGTCCGATCTGGACCAAACTTGCAGGACGTGCATCCTAGAGCTTGTAGAACCTATAGGAACTTTCGGATCGGAAATTGGAGGTTGTGGGCCCCGCAGGCCCGTTTGACCCTAGGTTGACTGTGAGACCATTGGGATAGTTCTACCTTCCTAGGAGGGTTAGAATGACCATAGAGACAGGTCCTGATGTCATGGGGATTATGGGGGATTATCGGATGCTAGTTGTTTGTTAAGGTGTTTATATTATTAGAAATTAATGTATAAGAATTATGTATGGATCTTATAATTGAATGTTAGTTTGCAATGCTATATGCACTACCCTATGTACCTCCTCGGGTGTTGACAGACCCCATACGTGGCCGGGTGCGTCCCGACGTATGAGGGGAGATATGATTGTGTGATGGCTGGTGAGAATGTAGCCAGGCCCAGTGTGAGGTCTCACGCGTCTTTGGATTAGCCGGCGTGTTGACAGACCCCATACGTGGCCGGGTGCGTCCCGACGTATGAGGGGAGATATGATTGTGTGATGGCTGGTGAGAATGTAGCCAGGCCAGGGCTAGTGAGAATGTAGCCTGGCCCAGTGTGAGGTCGCACGCGTCTTTGCGTGTTGACAGACCCCATACGTGGCCGGGTGCGTCCCGACGTATGAGGGGAGATATGATTGTGTGATGGCTGGTGAGAATGTAGCCAGGCCCAGTGTGAGGTCGCACGCATCTTTGGATTAGCCGGCGTGTTGACAGACCCCATACGTGGCCGGGTGCGTCCCGACGTATGAGGGGAGATATGATTGTGTGAGGGCTGGTGAGAATGTAGCCAGGCCCAGGGTTGAGGTCGCACGCGTCTTTGGATTAGCCGGCGTGTAGACAGACCCCATACGAGGCCGGGTGCGTCCCGTCGTATGAGGGGAGCTATGTGATTGTGTTTGGTGTGTTGTGATGGATAAACCCTAGAATGTATGAATTTATATGGATGGAATGGTTTATTTGATATTAGGAGCCATGATTGATAGGAAAGAGCTACGTGTGGCTTGATCCCTTAGTAGGGTACGTAGGCAGCCTGGGATAGCGCCTAGGTGCAGCCACGACTTAGACACCACTTAGGTGGTTTTATCGAGTATGATGCGGACCTCGTTGTTGGTCCCGAAACTTGGTTGAATTGAGGCTTGTTCGGTGGACTGAATGAGTGAAGTTGTGCCTAGTTAGATGTTGAATTTGTTATATGCATGTTTGATGCATTAAGATATTTTAACAACCGTGTGGGTAGTTTTGCTAGAATCATTTGAAGGCCGGAGGCCATTTATGTGAATTGCATGAGATTATATTGTGCGTGCTGCTGGTTGGGTTATAAAATGTGTTTCATGCAGGTGGAAATTTTGGGGAATGTTCAATTTGCAGGGGAGACTCTGCCGAAATTTTGGCAGAAAGTCTCGTGCCCTAAATCCTCTCTGGTAAAAGAGGACATAGTTTTAAGGAGTGAACCCGGCATAGGTGTGATGCCGAGGTCTCCGCAGGATTCGTCTCGGGTTCTGGGAAATTCGGGGCGGGTTCTGTCAGCGAGCCTAGGATCAGCATTGGACACCCTGTTCAGACGCTCCATCCCAGTTGAACACCTTGACCAGCCAAGCATCAAAGAAATAGAGCCAATTGACTCAATGCAAATCGATGAAGACCCCAGCTGGCAAGACCCCATTATCGACTACTTTGTGAATGGAAATCTGCCAACGGATAAGTCCGAAGCTAGGAAGGTCCAACAGAAAGCCGTGAGATATTACATGCAAAGCGACAAGCTTATTCGCAAATCATACTCTGGCCCTCATCTCATTTGCATAAAATACCCTCAAACACTTGAGGTCCTCTGCAAAATTCAAGATGGCGAGTGTGGCAACCACTCTTGATGCAGGTCACTCGCCCAGAAGGCTCTAAACGTAGGCTATTTCTGGCCTACTATGCCCCATGACTCCACTTAATATTTTAAAAGATGTTATCGCTACTAATGGTACAAACCAGTTCCTAATCTGCCTGCCAAAATCTACCATCCGCAGAACAGTCTGTGGCCTTTCATGCAATGGGCCATCGACTTAGTAGGCCCAATGCCAACGGCACTTGCCAAGAAAGAAATGATGATCGTCGCCACTGATTACTTTACTAAATGGATCGAGGCCGAAGCTCTATCCTCTACTAAAAAAGCCGATGTGGAATGGTTTATATGGAGAAACATTATATGCCGGTTTGGCTACCCACAATTGCTAGTTACCGACAATGCCTCACAATTCATCGACAAGCAGATCCTCAGAGCAACGGCCAGGCAGAGGCATTCAATAAAATAATATTGGAATGTCTAAAGAAGAGATTAGAATGCGCCGAAGGAAAATGGGTAGATGAGCTCCCTAGAGTACTATGGGCTTATCGAACCACCAAGCGAAGATCAATTGACGAAACCCTGTTTTCCCTCACCTATGGAACTGAAGCGATAATTCCTCCTCACGTCACTGTCCCCTCTATAAGTATTGAAGTGGGCAATATTGAGCAGAACTCTGAGCATGAGACTCAACCTTGACTTACTTGAAGGCGAGCGTGAGAAGGCCATTGTCCGAGTCGTCTCCTATCAACAGCAGTTGAAGTCTTACGATGACAAAAGAGCCAAGATCAGACAGTTTCAACCAGGTGACCTTGAGCTAAGAAAGGTCTTCGTCACTACACAAAGACAAGGGTCTAAAAAGATGAAACCCAATTGGGAAGACCCTTACGTAATCAACCGGTCCGGGGGTAGAGGAAGCCATACGCTGGACACCATGGAAAGGGAAGGACATTCCAAGACAGTGGAATGCCTGTCACCTGCAAAAATACTATCCATGATGCTTTTTCCTACCTGCTCAGTCTCTAGCAGATGACTAAGTACTGCACATTTTTGAAGAAGAGAAGCAACTACTGCAAATTCCAGAATGTGCCACAACAAAAGACGGTTGCCCACAAAAAGCGTCCTAAGGAAGACGCAGGGTGACAACCAGAAGTGTCCTTCGGGAGATGCAGCCCGCAAAGCTGCATCCTAAAGGGGCCGCAGAGTGCCCCATGAATTTCCCAAGAGAGGTATCTAGGCTCCTATCCGTTTCCTAAGGGAAGCAGGATAGCCAAACAATTGTCCATAAGCAGAGTCCTAAGGGAGACGTAGGGCAACGACCAGAAGCGTCTTAAGCGTTTTTTGGAAAATGCAGAAAACGTCCGGAGTCCATCAAGGGGGACCCTGGCTTTTGCCAAAATCCTAAGAGAAATGTATAGCCAAGACACTAGCCGGTTACTCAAGTTGTTCATAAGACAATATGCAAATTGAAGTTGAAAAACGAAGACTGAAATTTTCATAGCAAAGTGACCAACCGGCCAAGGTCAAACAAAAAGAAGATGGTCAAACAAGACCAATTACTCTAAACAAAAAGCAGACTACAAAAGCTGAAAAGAAATAAATGAGTTTTCGTCTACTCCAAAACGCTAACAGGAGATCCCTGATTTGTAGCCTCTTCAGCATCCACCTGATCAGCCACGCTCTCAACAGCTCCGCACACCTTATCTATGATGTCTGCCACCACATCATCAGCTGCATCCTCTTCTGCTCCATCCTCTTCGGCTACCGCTTCTTCAACCACCTGCTCTTCAGCTCATTCGGCGTTCACAGCATTAGCCTCCTCACTTTGCACAAGGGGCAAGTCAGGATAGAGCACCTTGATGTCTTTATCTCCAATGGCATAGAAGGGATCATGTCCATTTGTGCAGTCCAAGTAGCATAACTTGTACGTGTCCATGGAAACTTCGGATTTGGATTCCTCAGCAGACTCATGATAGGCGTGAAATCTAGCTAAAAGCTTGTCATAACTGTGAGAGATGTCAGCATTCTTGCGCTCAAGGTGGAAGTAAGCCTCTTTTCGACTTGCCAAGTTAGCAGCGGAAGAGTTAAGCTTAGAATCCTTCTCAGCAAGGGAACTCTTAAGCTCAGATATCATCGCCCGTAAATCAAATGTCTTCTTCTCATAACGGGTCCGCTTAGCAGAAAGTTTGCTAACTAGCTCAGCATTCTTCTTCTCCAACTCACTGAGCTGAGCAGAAGATGGGGCAACAGCAGACGAGTTCCGAATGGTCTCAGCAACAAAAACTACTCCTTTTTGAAGCAGATGAAGTGTTGCTTCCCTTTGTTTTTCTAAGGAAATACTTGAAAAAGTATCAAGATCGCCAGCCTGACGGATTTGATCAACCAGCTCAGCATAAGAGGATGGACTTGATAGAAAGTGCATCTTGAGCATATTAGACACGCTCGCATCCCCTACAGGGCTAGACTTGTCCACCTTTGGATCAATCGCTGACGTTGCAGAAGAACCTTTCGCCTGGGCAGATGACTCTCTTGCTTTCCTAGCCTCTGCCAACCTCACTTCCAAAGGAATTTGCGGTGACGAATCAACTCCACGCTTGACTACACGTGACTCAACAGTTGGATCATGATGGTTGATTAAGTGAGCATACCTCCCACATCGACCTCTACTCTTCGACTGGTGCAAGTGACCCGAGCTTCGGAGAGGAAGATCTGCATCTCTTTGCCTCTCAACAGGTGAGCTAGACTGCTCACGAACCACTTCATGGAGCAAATCATGACAGCCAATCTTCTTGTTATCTGCACCAACAAGATGCTTAACCCTGGCAGATGATGCGGGAACAACTTCTACTTGGGTCTTCTCAGTGGAAGGGAGCTTTGGCTTCTTCCTCAATGGAGACACATTCCTTGCCTATGAAGAAGTAGCTTGAGTTCTCGAAGACTTGACATCAGTCTTCCTTTTTTATGGGGGTTCAGCAAATAGATCATCAAGGTCCGGAACATTCTGCTTCCATCTCTCGACATCCTCGACAGGGGGCAGACCATCGTCTTCCTCCCGATACTCACTCAACAGCCAGCGCCACTCACGAAACTTTCGGGGGATGTTCAAAGCACGGCGGACCTTAGCCACGTCAAGCCCAAGCGTCAATTGCTTGCTAATATCGTTCACTACAAGCAGAAGACAGAAGTTAGTCAACCACACTTCAAGAAGTTCAAATAAAAATGAACATATCAAAAAAGCCACAAAAAGACATACCATCGCAATAGGTGATGGGAACAAGTGGGCCGTCACCAACGTCGCCCTTCCACCGTCCGCTGACTTCCAACACATCGTCATGCCAAGCGTGATCTCCTTGACTAAGACTGTCAAACAGCTTGACCTTGTAGATGCGAACATGGGCATACTCCTTGAAGTGCCTCACTTCGAAAAAATAGAAGAACTCCGGCACCGTCAGCTCCAGCATGAAGAAACGGCTCAGGTTTTCAAAACACATGACCGCCCGGTAGACGTTCAGAGTACACTGACTCGGAGCACACCCTATGGCGCAGAACACCTCCTTGAAGAGCTTTGACATCGGGAATTTGAAGCCTGAGGAGAAGTAAAAGGGACGGAAAGTGATGATTCGGGCATTTGGATCATTCACATCCACGCAAGGCACAGCTTCGCCAACTTGATATGCACGTCATCGGGAATCGCAGAAGCATAAGCAGCCCGCCACCTCTGGAATTGACCTTCATTTGTAACGCGGTGCAGGTTGGCCACAAACCTCTTCTTGTACACCTCGGAACCTCCCCACAAATACAAAGGCACATGAGAGCTTGGAGCCTTGCTACCGTTTCTGGAAGACATGGTTGGTCAACGAATAGCTGCAAATAAAAAAAATAGAAAATTCGGTATAAGTCCAATTCTTATGACAAAATTTGGGTGCAATCCACACATTTGTTGTTAGTAATTCAAGTCCTCTGACTTTTGTGCAATGCAGGATTACTTACCTTCTTTTAATTTCTAAGGTTGATATTTTATTTTCTTAATTTTGTAATTTATGTTGTGCTTCCAAGTTTGCCCCTAAGATAGAAATCGGATAACCTAAAAGCCAGCAAAATATCAAAAATCGCGTTAAACAATCTTCAGACGCCAAGAATAGAAAGAATCGTAGAAATCGTATCTTCCACAATCAATTATGGCCCTGTCAAGCCGATTTCTGCAGATTTCATGCTTCTTAATTGTCGAGGGTTTTGGGTTTCATTTTAGAGTTGAATTTGCCTTTTGTCTTCTTCAATTGCAGCCGGTGGAATTTGCCATCGTTTGGGGATTCTCATCTTACTTCTCCATCAATTGCAGTGCCTGTGTTCCAGGTATGTTGTATATTTACCTCTTTTGTAGGTGGAAACTTTTGACGTTAACAAAACCTGATTCTTGAACGTATTTGTATATGTAACTACTGCTTCTTGAATCAATTTCTTTTTGTTTTCGTTTTCTAATTGAGGACCCCAACTATGTATTTGACGATAACTAAACCTACTTCCTGAACGAATTTCATATTCTCTCTCATGGGAATTGGTTCGATACCTATACCATAGGAAGAAGATGAAGAAACCAGTTCATCTTGTACTCTATTCCTTGTATTCCACACGATGAATTTCGTTTTCATTCACACCAAATACTAAGATGGACACGTTGTTGTTGAAGAAGTAGTGGTAGTTATCAAGTATAAGATTAGCAATATTGATAAAGTTAGAAGTACAAGCTTATAACAAGCTTATAAGCCCATGGGGTATTATTTATGTCCTTTTCCTGTTGTTGTTTGTCCTGTTTGAGAACATAATCCTACCCACTGTGTAGTACTTGTGCAATAGGTACACACTCAAGAAGTTACCTGTAGGTTAGGTTCTGGATGAAGTGCCCTAACAAATCACAAAGTGATAGTTGTTACCACTAACAGATTTCGGTAGAAAAACTAGAGTACTTGCAGAACCTTTATGACCAATAGTTTCAAAACGCTTAATTATATGCTTTTATGGATGACTGCTTATCAAATGGATGACTGCATATATGATAAAAGGCAACAAGTTATGAGATATAGAGGTTTTAGGTGACGTTTTGCCTATATTTCATAGGCAAAGTTTAGCAAAATCCAAAGTCTATATATCTACAACGTTAACAATCTTAAATTGTTAATCATGATTCAAAACAAACAATGCACAACAAATAAAACAAACGGCGACAATCCAAAATACAGGATGTTGAGGATTTCACCACAACATACCTATAGCATAGGTACAGGATCAGAAATTACCTATACAGCAGGTTCTAATTGATGATTAAACCCAGTTATGATATTTCTCGATTACAGATTCATAAGCTAGCAAATAAAGTTGGATATGCCAGAACGAATTTGCAGCAAAATCATTCACCAATGATTGAGAAAAGCAACAACAAACACTCTCAGAAACCATCAGGAACAATCCATAATAGAAAAAGGATGAACGTACGCTGACTGAGAGAATTTACCTGGGATACAGGTACTTCAATGGACGCCGTCATTTCTGATAATCCAAAAAATTTGGGTTATTCCATCTGTAATTGTGAATTATTAGAAGAAACCCACAAATATTCCAATTAAGGAACCAAAAAATCAGTGAAAATTGGGAAAGACGAAGCATGACTTTTGGGATTTCTGCAATTTGGGGGATCTGAGATATGCGATTTGGATTAACAGATTGGGAAAGACGTCCTTTACTTTCCATTTGTATAGAATGGTAGGTGTTGTAAATAAATTAAATTTTGTGGCCATACTATTTGCTTAGGTGGCTGCATGAGTGGGCTTTAGGACTAGAATTATTAGGTAACAATTACTGTCCTACAATCAAACTGTATTCTTGAAATTGGACCCATATCTAAGAGTCCCTAAAAAAAAAGGGACTGGCAGCAGAAAAGAGGCAGCAGCAGAATAAAAAGGGGCAGCAGTAGTATAAAAAACAAAAACAAAAACAAAAAAGAGAAGTGGCCCAGCTTGGAGCAGCCCAGCACGAGCAGCCCAGCGCATGTAGCCCAGCACGAGCAGCCCAGCGCACGTAGCCCAGTACGAGCAGCCCAGAGCGAGGTTCTTCGCGTGGTGGGAAGGCCTTCGCTATTCACATCGGCCGAAGGAAATTCAACCTTTGCCGATAGACCAATCAATGGTGAATTATGCAAGCACATAAACTCGATCTTAAGTCCTTGCTTCGAGAGGGAGTTTGTCAATACAAGCGCACCCTCCAGCTCGAGCCCATCACACCAAGCCCTTGCAGCGTCAGTGCGCACCTCGTGGTCTAGCCCAGCGCATGTGGCCTGCTTGCCTAGCGCAAGCCTGTGTCGTTTACGAGGCCCAGCGTTCAATGCCTCTGCTCTGAAGCCCAGCGCCTCCATCCTTCTGCCTTGGGCTCGGCTCTTCCATGCTCTCCCTTGGGCCTATCGCACGTCTACTCCAGCCTAGGCCAGGTAGCTCCAAGACCAGCATGTGCCTCATGCTGCATTTGATTCCAGCATGAATTCTCCAGCTTTTGTCACCAGATCCACAAACTTGCAAACCATGCTGGACCACCTCCTTGCTGCCAAAAATTGGAAAAAAAAATATATGTGCATATATATTTTTATGAGCTCGACTTACTTTGGATGCACGACAACTCCTCTCTTCAACAAGCAGTACAAATTCTCCAAGATCTTTCTCAAGTCAGAAAGTAGAGAAGTTAAGTTTGCGATGTGAGAAAGAGTGAAGAGAAGCCCTGTATTTATATAGGTTGGACAACCCGAGGAGGAATCACAAGCTCATTTCTACTAGGAATCCAACTCCAACAATAGTCAGAAGCTTATACCAATTGGAAATCTGATCTGCAAAGGAGTTCAACTTACAGAATAAAGCCCAGACACAGTTGGAGAGCTCGAAAAAAAATAATTTCATCTCCTACACAAGCGCCAAGCAGAAGCTGGGAAGCATTTGTGGGAGCATATATTTTTATCTCCAATCAGGGCACGCCACGTGGAAAAGAAGATTATCTCTTAAATTAATTAATTAAACCAGTTTATCTAGCCAATTAATTAATTGGGATAAATATCTTAATTAATAGGATATTATCTTTATTTAATAAGATAATACCATTAATTTAGATATTATATCCTAATAAAGAGAAGATAATATCATTAATTCAGATATTATCTTCATAAAAAGAGATAATATTATCTTCAATAAAGAGAAGATAATATCATTAAATCAGATATTATCTAAGTCCGACTCGATCCCTATGAATTTGGGTAGAGAATAAACCCAGCATATTCTCTACGAAACCCTAGCCCCGAGGCTCCTATAAATAGGCGACCTCATTTATCATTCAAGGTACATCTAAACCTACTCCTAAACCCGAGAAAAATACCTAAAGCTCTCTCTCCCTCTCCACTCTCCATATTTTCTCCACACGGCTCCGCCCACCACACAAGGCTCCGGCCGCCCAGTTCACACCATACATATAACTCCATACCCTTTGCTTAGCTTGTTTTCCTACAAACACTTGAACTAACTGAGGCATCGGAGGGCCTTTGGCCAATACCCCGCAGGAGTGGTCTATTTAATCCAGTCTTTTTTACAGGAAACGAGGAAAAGAGAGAAGGAAGATCGAATGTTGAAGGATCTAGAAGCAAATATTCTTCAGGGAGATTATTTGCACAAACAGGTGCCATAACCAGATTTGCTTTTGTTTGCTATCAAAGGGATGTGTCACACTGTTAGCCATGCCGTGATTGAATTCATCTACATAATAGAGCCTTCCTCTCTTAGTACCACGATCAAGAATCTCCTTAGTGGGAATATCCTGAAGCAAACAAAAACTAGGATAAATGAGTACACAACAATTCAATTGTTTCGTATTCTAATTAACGGACATCAATTTATTGGATAAAGATGGAACAAGTATTAAACAGTGAAAGAGAGGATTAGAGTGCAATAATGCCAGCCTTGTCACAGGATAAGTAACTCCATTAGCGTTAGCAATACAAGTTCATCGGGGTTGGGTAGTATTTAGAAAATAATCAGGATCAAACGTCATATGATCAGTTGCATCGGAATCAATTATCCAGCTCGTTGAATCACTTTTATCAGAAGTACGGAATCCATAACCTATACCGTTACTGGTCGTATTGCATTGTATTCGATCTTTGAGAGTAGCCCATAATTCAAGGGTAGCCATGCAATTTAAAACAAGTCTCACGAGTGTGTCTCGGATCACCACAATATGCGCAATCTCGTCCATGTGTCAGGGACTGGGTCGTCATCGGAGTTAGGGTCATCGTTGGGGTCAAGGTCATCAAAATAGGATCCTGATTCAAGATTGAGTTCGAGGTTGATGTGTGCATTTGTAGGAGCTAAGCCATTTGGGCACTTAACTTGACTATGGTTAGTTGAGAATGAGAGAAGGAGTCGGTGGTGCTACCTCCATGAGGGTTAAAAAAATCATTAGCCCCTATAGCAATGGCGAGGGTTGAAACTAAAGTCGACAATTCCAAGATAGCCTCTCTGAGGCCATGTTAAATTTCATAGAGGCGGGTCAGCGGCCCACTACTAGCAACACTGATATTGTCCCCAACTTAACCACCTACAAAGTCCAATATGTTCGGGGTTTTATCACAAAAGACCTCAATGATATTAGTAGTGGAACCATTCATTATATCTTGTATTTTATTTAGTCAAGATTTCGATGTGAGACTTATATTCTTCAATAGTATATTCCTATAACTCATCATGGCATTTATCTGAATGGATTCCTTTATTGGATTGGTCGGCAGCGTAGAGATGCTTCTTTTTTTATGTCTGCCTTCCACGTTGAAAGAGAGCGCTTCCAAGAGTTACCACTACCACCTTGTCACGTGGAGATAATTAATTTTAGCCTTCAAGTCTTGCAAGGCTGGCTCTCTTTCATTGTTGGCTCGAGAGGTGATATCAATGTTTGGGTGATGAAGAAGGATTCTTGGACAAATGAGCATGAAATTAGAGACCAAGACGGTTTTAGTATTATTCGTACTCGAATACTGAGATTTACATAAGCAGGGAAAGTCTTGGCGTTACATTGGGATAGATTGGTCTCTTACGATCTTGCAACATCGGTCATGGCGTGGAGGTCGAGGTTGATGGGTTGCCTAAAGTAACAGGCGTATGGGACCTAAGTCCAAGCTTGGTTTCATTTCAACATATATAACCAAAGAGAGCTCCAAGGGACCATGTATCAAACCTAAAAAGCTTTTGGTTTTTCTTGCTATCTGCAATTTAAACTTTTCAAAGTCTTTTTTTTTAACTCATGGTTATTTAAGGGTCATCATTTTCATTTGTTTTCGTTTCCTACTAGTTGCAATTTGAAAATAATCCCTGGGTTAATTTGTCTGCATCCAATTTTGACAGCTTCATTTCCCTACATATACCCTAATTTTATTCCTGTCAGGAGTTTTCTTTTATTTTCTTTATATTTGCTTGACTTTTCGTCACATTTTCTTTGGTTTGTCAGTATAATACAGAAAAATAAGTTGCAGTTTTGAATTAAAATTTACAACTAACCAATATGACTAAAATTGACAAAATGGAAATGACATATACCAAACTTAAAAAATAAAAATAAAAGGCTAAACCACAAGGAAGAAAAAACAATTGTTAATTTGGGCATAAAAAAATATATAATTTACCCTCCCATTTCTTAACCCTAACCCTAAATAAAAGTCAAATAGTTATATTTTTCGCGAGGACAAATGCCACCTATTTGCTTATTTTTATGATCTTCTTTTGCAGCCGCTTGCAGAATTTTGACAATGGCTCCAACATGTCTTAGATTGGTGCTCCTTTTTATAAGCACACAAGTGAGAAGAGGCACTTCTTTCTTTGCTTGCAAGCAACCCTACTTGCCCGATTTTATTTTTCTTGAACACCAAATTACATTATTTTGAGAGATAATTTATAATATTATTTTTATCTTTTTGAGAAAACTTTACGCCCAATAAAGTCAAGAGAACGAGGCTTTCAATTTTAATTCAAACATGTGTATTTTTGGCTAAGTTGTTAAGTTTCGTAGGATCAGTTCTGTATATCCTACATACTCATATCAATATAAATATATGATCACACAAATGACAGTGCTTCATCGATGAAGAAATCTCAAGTGTGCCATAGCCACCCACCAACCAACAGAGGTGGTCCTCCAAGTCAAGAAGATGAAGAGGAAGAGCATCATCAGAAACCCTACATTCTGCATTTGCCAGACCATATAACAATGGAGATCTTCTGCAAAATTCCAACAAAAACGCTCATCCACTGCAAGCGCGTGTGCAAGTCTTGGCGCCGTTGGCTCTCAGACCCTCAATTCACCAAACACCTATTTTCACGAACACGCCCTTGCCTTGTGGTGTCTGGCTACACCATCCCCGAACCCGCAGGTCACTTCCTGGTCTACCTCGACACAGACTTGAGCCCAAACGACGCCGTGTTCAGGCTTTCCACAAGAGTAGGCCGAGATTGCAGAACATTCATTAGGGGTTCCTGCAACGGCTTCATCCTCTACGACATAGAACGTCTTGATGGCAGCCATCAACTTTACTTATCCAATCCCATCACTGGTGAGTCCTTAACTGTTCCACAACCTACCAAACCTTGTTTTAAGCCAATTTTGGGGTTTGGGTTTGCTCCCATTGCTGAAGTTTACAAAGTAGTTTGGATTGATGAAAACCAGGATGTAAATATTTTTACTGTGGGATCTGGGATTTGGAGAGAAATTGGCTCTCTGCCCTATACTCCTCTAAGGCATACTGACTTCTATTTGAATGGTTTTCTTTACTGGATTGCTCGACCTCTAGATACCGTTTTCGTGTCTGCCTTTGACGTCGAAAGAGAGCGCTTCCAAGATTTAGTACTACCGCATTCTTGGTGGGTGGATGCGGAGGTATTTAAGTATAGTCTTGGAGACTTGCAAGGCTGTCTCGCTTTCTTTGTTATCAGGATATGTGATGTGAGTGTGTGGGTGATGAAGGAGTCTTGGACAAAAGAGCTTGAAATTAGAGACCCAAATAGTTTTATTGGTACTCGAATATTGAGATTTACAGAAGAGAGGAAAGCCTTGATGTTACGTTCGGATAAATTGGTCTCTTATAATCTTGCAACATCGGGCAGTGTAGAGGTCGAGCTTGATGGGTTTCCAAGCTTTGTTATGAATGCGTGGAACCTAACTCCAAGCTTTCTTTCACTTCAAGATATATACCGAAGGGTGATCAGAGCTCCAAGGTACCATGTATCAAACCTAAAAAGCTTTTGGTTTTTCTTCCCACCCACCATGTACATTTGAAAAAAAGGTTTTTTAGGTTTTAGAGATAAAAAAATTTTCACTTTTGGAAAAAGCCAAAGC